ATAACCAGTCAATTCATCGAAATTCATGCTTAGCTTATATACAATTAAGTTTTCGATAACGTCAACGACGCAATGGCAGGGATGATAGCGTACCTGTTTATTACGCGGACGGGCAAAGTTCCAGTCACGTGATCAGTTTTTTTTTCAGTTCATTTAATTGCTTTTACAATTAAATATATTCATTTAAAAACAACTTATTAAATATTTTTTAATTATAAAATAATTAAGTTAGGAATACATAATACAAAATATGTATTATTTTTATTATATTAATTATAAAAATTTTTTGAAAAAAAATTGTAATAATATATATTATATGTTATTAAATATTATATCTAATATTTTATTTATAATATATTTTTTTTCATATTATAAAACTCTTTATAACTAATTTTTATATAAAATATCATTTAATATTTAATATAATATAATTTATAATAGATATTATTTATTAACAATTATATTTACAAAATATAATATAAATATTTATATAATTACAGTAATTGTTTTACTTTTTAAAATTCAAAATAATTATTAAAAACAATATTTAATACTTAATAAACCTTTTTTAAATAAATGTATCTAATTGTAAAAATAAATAAATGAATTGAAGACAAAAAGAACTGATTGCGTGACTCGAACCTTGGCCAGCCGCATAGTAACCAGGTACGCTGTCATCCATGCTACTGCGGCTCTAACGCTGGAGGATATTTAATTGTATGTAAGCTAAGCCTGAATTTCGAACGCTATTTTCTCCAAATTGACTGGTCATCCGGGGCTAATACATTGGGGGTTGAACACACGGAAGAAGTACTACTATCTCCGAATTTTAGTACCCAAATGAAATGTCACACGACTTCAAAGAAATCTGGTACGCTGGCGATGTCAGCAGAAGCAATGACGATTTGTGACGCGAAACACTCCGCTGTAGCCACCGACGTCTCATAGATAAACGATTTCAAGTAACCTCAGAAGAAGAAATCCAAGGGACTGAGATCCGGGGAACTTGGAGGCAAAACAACAGGGTCACCGTCCAATCCACCTCGTGGGATATGTAGCATAGAGGTGGTTTCCCACCGCAATTGAAAAAAGTGGTAGTGCACCATCGGGCGTGAACCACACTTTCCGGTTCGCAGTGACCGCTATTCCCTGAAGAAACTCTGAGAGAAGTGGGAAATTTGCATGCGTGCACATTTCTTCAACCCTACCTAGGCTCTCCAAATCCTCTCATTCGTGTGGCGACCCCCTCGACTGGCTCATCGTCCTCTGGGCGAATACAATAATCGCGATTTTCACCTACTAAACGTTGCTTACAAACTCATGTTCTATGTTGATTTGTCATTCGGCTCTATCCGCGATCTTCTTACTAATAGTCCTTTTAGGGAATTTTTGACCTTTAAAAATTATTTTATTATAAAGCTTCCTCCCAAAGTAGAGAACGTGAGCATGCAAATTAGGACTGCTATATAAAATCTAGGCTTTCAAGTTAGAGAGGAGAAAGATAGGATAGACTGTGCTAGCGGAGCAGTGATGAACCAAATTGAATGTGAGGCGCGGATATTTAGTAATTGAAAATTGTATTACTGAAGGTGACGATCTGTCACTTGAGATTGAATCTAGATTAAATAGCTAAGAAGTCAAGAGCTAATGCATTGAGTAAGAGTATTAAGTATTAAAGTTTTCTCATATCTCGCGTACCTCGTTAATTGTCTGCATATGTATTAATGGGTGCATCTCTAGACTTGGTTAATAAATCTTGTGTTATGGTTGATACTGGAAATAAAAAGGATTATTTTTGGAATATGGCTAGTCTTCCTTCAGATCTTACCATACTGAGGGAAGAGAGAGCGCTTCCTTCACACTATCATCTCTTTGAATCTGTCTGTCGAATTCGGCAACACCCGAATCTTAAAATGTATCTTCTGTAGCTCATCCCTTGTAACGAAAGGGTAACCAACTGATACATCTTCTCCTGTTTCTAACAATATCTCGGATTATATGCAACTTCATCATTTAAACTCTGTTTTATACGTCGTGGCATATACAGGGTGCGGCAAAAAAACTCGGACAAATTTCTTGCCCCCTAGAATAATTAATAAATTTCCTTTTAATTGGTATTTTCCTGTTTCTTTATCCACCACTTTAATAATAAAATATTTTTAATACATTTCTTAGTTTGTACTTTAATTTATGTGTTTTTGATAATGTCGAGCAAAAGGTCTGCTATTTTAGAGTTGTCTCAGCAAAGGAAACGAAAGTGAGAAGTCGTTCATTTGCTTATTGTACCTCGGCAAACAGTGTTTGATGCAATTTGCCGTTTCAAAGAGCTTGGCAATAATGGTCGACGTCCAGGAAGTGGGCGAAAACGCACTATAAGCACTTCAATGAATCGTAAGGCCATAGAAAAGCGAGTCCAAAGGAATCCGATGGTTTCCATGAGAAAATCGATCGTGACATGAGAATATGTGTCAGATCGGTGAGACGAATTGCAAAACCCGAGCTTGGACTGAAGCCTTACAAGTTGCGAAAATTTCAGCTCCTCAATGAAAGAAACAAACTCGTACGGCTCCAAAGATGCCGAAAACTTTTGAGACGGACCGCAAGTCAGCGATGGGAGAGATTCCTTTTCACTGATGAGAAGCTCTTTGAGGTTCAACAAGTTCATAACTCCCAAAACAACTGAATCTGGTCTGTGGACACTCCAAGCATTTGACAATTGTAGAATATCGCCAGTATCCAAAGTCGGTCATGGTCTGGGGCGGAATTTGCGCAAGTGGTAAAACTCCTTTGATTTTTATGGAAGAGGGCGTTAAAATCAATCAAAAAGTGTACCAGAGGGACATTCTTGAAGCTGATGCACTTACGTGGTCCCAAAAACATTTCGGAAATGCAAAGTGGACAAGACTCTGCACCAGCTCACAAGGCCAAAAAGACACATGAGTGGTGCAAAGCAAATTTTCCAGACATGATTTCATGTGAAAAATAACTACTCTACTCGACGGATCTTAATATCATGGATTACAGCGTATGGTCCATTTTTGATTCCAGAGACTGCACTAAACCATACAAAATTTTAGAGTCTCTAAAGCAATTGTTTCTGCGAGAATGGGATAGATCAAAGGTAAAAGACTTGAGGCTCATTGTTGAAAATTTCTGCAAGCGTTTGCGCTTTTGCATTGCTGCAAACGGCGTCACTTTGAAACCAATTAAATTTATTTATTAGTACGGGTGTACTCTTATTATATTATTTGTTATATATTGTTAATTTCTTAATTTTATATAAAGTTGCTTAAAAAATTGTTTGTCCGGGTTTTTTCGCCGCACCCTGTAAATTATCTCCGGGGGAAAAATAACAAAAAGTAACTGTGTGCATTGAGCAAAGTACTGTAATTGGGAAATGCGAAAGGGTAAAATGGCTAATTCTTCTATCACTACATATAGATAAAGAAAAATGGTTCAGCCAAAGAGCAATAAATCAAAAAATTGCAATTTTTCATAATTCAGAAAATAAAAATAATTTCCAAAGCGCAAAGATAGAGTCCGTAATTTTTCTTCGCATTTTAAAATGACACGATTATCAATCATCAACGTGAGAGATATAATTATAAGGTCAAAAATGCAGTTAAGGCATTATTCACTATCACGAGTGCCAAAAGTTTTCAGAACTTGGTAATTGATTTAATATTAGCATTCTTCAAAATTAACTTTGGGAGTTAAAAAAGTTAAAAATCTGTTTTCTTTTTCCATTTCAGAGAGTGTTGAGATACCAAGTTAATAAATTCATCAACAATGCATATCCATTAGCGCGCCTAAATCATTAAAAATGCTTAGAATCCGGACAGATTTTAATTAAGCTCTAGCGACACAAAGTTTAAAATTTTTCTGTAAGAAATTTTATTCGATCAAGGAATTAGTTTTTAAGCTGCTGGTTTGATTTTGCTTGTGAAAATCTGGGAGAATTCTGTTTTTCCTTCAATTATCCTTCTTGATAGAAAAATTTAAGAAATTGTCCGATTTCAAAAGTATTTGAAGGAAATTTTTTAAAGTAAAACACAAATGAAATTGATTTATCATCCGAAAATTATAATCAACTTTATATTTGTATTCGGATATCATTTTAAAACTTTTGCTAGAAAGAAAAAAAACTATAATTTCTTTGAACAGATTTTGTAGCCAATTTGAAAAACAATTTTTGAAAGGATATTATTATTATTATTTTGTTACAAATTTTACTATTCCTTTAAATTAACATGTTGTATATTAACTATAGCATCGCGAAAAAATTTGAAAGAATTCTCTAAAAAAATAAGTGTTCGTGAGAAAAACTTTAAAAAAATTGCTTTATCTTTATGATTTGCACTGCGAAATATCAATAGTTTAATTTAGAACAGCAGAGTGAAAATCTTATTCAAATTTAAGGGAAATATATGGTACTTTACTCGTGTGTGCCTCGTTATGTCTTTTGGAATTTAATATTCATACCAGCATACAATGAGATTTCAAATCTTTGAAAATGGTACTTTATAAGTGCTTATATAAAGTTCTAAAAATATTATAGTTGATTATTTTCATCAACACACCATTAGAACTTAAACAATCAAATCAAGTAAAGGGAAAAAAATTTTATGTTAAAATATATTCTTAATTCAAAAAGTAGGAAAGATGCTGAACAACAAATGCAAGGGTTTTTAAGTTTAGCAGTTTGATTTGAAATAATAATATAAAAACATTTTAGCCAATTCTACTTAGATCAACAAAAAAATTATTTTAGTTACTTTTTATTAAATAGTTACAATTAATATGAATATGTATACATGTGATAGAATCACAAAATTAAGTGACCAAATAGAAGCGATTTCCCTTGCAATTTTCCATTCTCCTTTCTATATAGGGTGTTGAACTATTTTTTTTTGTCTGTTTCTATTTATACATTAATTAAATTCAATTATTCTAATAAAATAGTATAGTAAAGAAAGAAACCTCATTCTCATAAATTAGGCCTTCCCAGGTGGGTTCGAACGCACGACCTCTGGATTAGAAGTCCAACGAGCTATCTATTGCTCTACACGGATACAACGAGTGAGCTTGCTTTCTATATATACTGTTGGACTATTATTTCTGTTTGTTCTATTTATTCAATTTTTAATTTAATTAATGAATTAATATTTGAAAAAACTGTATTAATTTCAAGGGCCATCCATTACAAGTTTTAAAAAATGTATTTGAACTTGAATGGATGAATAGAAAGTATTTTATTCACAACTGAAAATTGAACAAGGTATATACTCGTGTATATATATATATGGAGAGAGTGAACTACAGTGGGAATTGAAACAAATCAGTAAATTGTAATACTATGTTTAAATGCATTTTATGAATACATAAAGAAATTAAATAATTTTTATCAGCAAGTGGATCAATTTCTATAAAAATAATTCTAAAATTACATAATCATGAACCTATGTAACGTTGCCAAATTTATATGCAATGAATATTGATATTGAGCAAATTTATTAAGAATGTATGAAAAGTATTTCTTCTAAAATAGTGACTTAAAGCAGTGAATAGCTGGAATGTTCTTCAAAACCTTTATCTCCTAATTTTGATACATTTTTATATTCCAAAATGAACATTCATAAGATAACTTTCTCAATTTATAAAAAGTTCCATATTTCACGAGTTTTTCCATTAAAAAAAAATTTAACGCTGTTTCTTACTCGAGTTAAAATGCTTAAGGACGCCATTAAATTACTACGGTTACATAATAATGTATCGTGGAATATTTCCAACATTTGGGGGGGATTTAAATAAAAGACATTTTTGAGCTCGTCTACTGGTTGATGTTCCAAATGACTTATGGGGAAACCACTGGAAAGAATAATGTGTAAGACATTTTAGGTTAAAAACTGTATCATGCTCAACTGCTGAAACATGTACTTAACTCTTCGACGTTAACTTTCTCGAGTGGTACTGAACATTTTTTTAAACCAATGTAAAAGAGCATTTTATGTACTTAGACCTAATTTTGCTGTGACTAATTATACATTAAGCAATAAATAAAGGGGAATTGTTTTTTTTTTCGAAAAATGCCTCAGTTACTTTAGGTCGCTTGCATGATGATGTATTTTTGTATGATAAATAGAATAAAAGAGAAAAAACGGTGAAAAATATATATCACGTTGAACAATGTCTCAAACATCACAGATTTTTTTTCTCTTAATTTTGAATAAGTAATTTTAAGAGGAAAACTCAGGGAAGTACTTTTTTCAATTTGATTATTGGTGGGGTTTTTTTTTCGTTTTAAGAGCGGCCAAATATGAGTTTTTTTATAATAACGACAAAAGAAGTAGGGATATAATTAGTAGTATATTTTTTTAATAATACAGGCCTCTAAAAAAACTATGAATACACCCATCCTGTTAGACAACAGGGGAAAAAACAAATTTATGCTGGGGAAAAATCATTGGGAAACGAAATTGAAGGTCCAATTCTTTTCTTCTTCAAACTCATTTTATTTAGCCACTAACAAACACATATCCTCACAGTCGTGTAATGGCAATCGTTTCTTTCATTAGCCTTTAGGGCCTCATATTCATCGAAGAGTTAAGATCGTTGGATTGTTACTTGGATAGATAATGATCACAATGTATTTTAAGATGTTGCAGTCGTAGAAGGAAAGTTAAGGATTTAGAAGATTAAATCCGAAGAGTCTGCAATTGGAATATTTGTTTCGCATCCAGAGAAAGTCCGTTTTATACGCTCAATTATTATGTTGTTTCCTTTATTTTGTATTTCATGGATTATCGTTAATCTGGTGCTTTTACACCTTATTCTTTGGCGAGATTTTCACCATTCAGATAAAAAAAAGCCCTGTAATTGTTTCAAAGAAAAAAATGGGATTTTAGCTATACTGCTTGCAAAGTAGTGTATCATCCTGAAAGAAATATTTTAATAATTATACATGACTCATACCATAAAAAATACTGATACGAATTTTGTGTAAAATAGTGCAGTAATCTGTACTTGGATGTGTAATACATTTATATTACTCTATGTTATATTTAATTTATGTTAAAATTGTAATATATTCGCAAGCATTGCCCTCTCTAACGTTATAATGGCGATTCATTGTGAACTTGGCGAGATCTTAGTGATAAAGCCAAGTTGGCATAATTTTTGGCGACCATATTGGCGAGTTCGGAACTCTCTGGATTATTCTGGAAATTTGTGGAGAAATCCAAGAACTATGACGCAAGCGGATCTTTTTCGAAAGTTCTGCTAGAGCTACAAATAGGGAGACGCTCGCCAAACTGAGTCAAACTTATTTCAACCAGCGATTAGAGAGTATTGTTTTGATAACGATTAGTAGACTTGCCTTGACCGTGATTACCGATTAGCTCGGCTATGCTTGTGAATAATATTTGACATACGTGTATTTTAGACACTGATAATTGTGTCTGAGTGCTGCTGAAGATGTGAAGACCTTCTGAGATTTATTCTGCGAATATTGCTGCTGAATCCTGTATTTCAAGAATTGAATTTTCGGCAATAAATTAACATTGCTCTTAAAGAACTCTCTTGTTCTTTGCAACTAAATTGCATAAATCCTCGAGCCCCGATCAACGTAACGATACCATAATATGTATTATAACAGCATGTACCATATTTACCCATTGTCTGATTGTATTTAATGTAATCAGATTCAAAAATTTTACGAAATCGTTATGAAAATTTTCAACAAATTGCACCAAAATTTCATTTCAATAAATAATTATATATAAATTACATTCCGTTACTTAATTTCCAATATTTTTTTTCAAATGGGCTGCAATTCGGCCCACAAACCTTTGCACGCACAAGTCTCTAAACGTGAGAGACGTTTTAGTGGTGATGCCATCTAGTGGCGGCTCTATCAAATTATTGATGTCTGAATCAATTTTTATTCAAGACCTCGCCGAATGGTAAATATTGTCGTGATTTAATTTTTCCGAGAGTACCAGAGCCAAATTGATACTCAAGGGATTTCTTACACACCATATAAATATAGAACATGCGTGCCTATGATTTACGCATGCAGAAAATCTATCGATTCCAGACAGGATCAAACCCGAAACCTTGAGCTTACGAGGTGGTCACGCTATCACTAAGCCACTCAGCCAATAAAATGCCATTATTCTCTAACTACAAACAAAATAATTTTCTTAATAAAAAAAAATTTATGTACCATGTTTTTATAACTATTTTCAAGCATTGTCATCCACTTCTGAGCTATAATCCAAATTTCAAGTCTCTTGCTCATCGGGAAATTAATATAAAACCAATTACAAAATTCCACCCGGACAGACATACAAGCCTCTTCGGGGGCCCGGGTTTGAGACTAGAACTTCTTTCTTACATTGTCATGCATTGTCATCCATTTCTGAGCTATGGTCCAAATTTCAAGTTTCTAGCTCATCGGGAAGTTATTTTAAAAGCAATTACAAAATTCCACGGACATACAAGAAAGGGAGTTAATAAAAAAACATGATAACCTGGGGGTCCTCATTGACCCCCAAACCAATAAATTGTATATGTAGACGCAACTGGACCCGTACTATCGACAGGGGGTCTTTGTTTGTGTAAATTCGTGTAAGTTCCGGAGTTACGGGGCCCTTTGTTGAAATCGGGGCCCGCCTCTTAGGAGGCACGGGCTCGAGACTAAAACTTTTTTCACATTTTCATGCATTGTCCTCCACTTCTGAGCAATGGTCCAAATTTCAAGTCTCTAGCTCATCGGGAAAGTAGTTTAAAGTCAATTACAAAATTTCAACCGGACCGACAAGAAAGCGAGTTAATAAAAACATGGTAATAAAATAAATTTTTATTAACAAAATATCTAACAACATTATTATCTAGTAGTAGCCTTGTCCTTTATTTTTAAATAAATAATCATATTGTTAACCATTAGCGCACGCTTTCTTTGATTCGCAATAGTTTTTGTATGCCATCAGAGAGCCCCGTTCATAAGAGATCAATCAATTATGCAAGAAAGAAAATTAAATCATCTCATGTAGTTATTTTCGCTTAATTGTTTCAAGAAACTGATAAGCATACATATTTAAACGATACTTCCAGTCAAGACAGTTAAAAGTTAATAAGAGTAAAATATTTCCACCCTAGCTTTTGTTCGATTTAATTGCTGATTGAAAGATTAAAGGAGCTTTTGATACGAATACCAGAAGACAACAGAGCAAAATCAATAGGCAGAGACTTTACGGTCCAGCTCCAATCCAACTCTTTCATCTTTTAGAAATCCCTGTTACTACGAAAACACTTTATTTGTGTCAAATAAATGCATTTCACCTCTATTAATGGAAAACGCACAACTCTCTAAGAAATCTTTGATTGAGAATTCCAACCGAAGTTCTATTATTCACTTCTATTCATTGCTCTTTGAATTACTCTTCATCCCCTTCCAACTAAAAGGTTTTCTGAAAACATTTAAAAGAGCTTCGATCGTAAATTAATGAAGGTCTTTCTCTTATGTGAGAGACTTGAATTTCTGTTTTAGTTCCTTTTCAGGTTTTAATACTTGGGAGGATGGTTGATTTCAATGTGGATTCAATTAAATCGCGTCGAGTTTGCCAGTCTGTTAACAAGTCTATTACGATAAATGTAAGAAAAAGGGATGACTTTTTGATTTCGAAATGCTAAAAATACGTTTGTTTATTTCGGGGAGGTTAGGTGACATTTTTTTTATAGAGATGTTTATTTCGTACACTCAAAACATAAATCTTATTCTGAGGGAATCAGTTTAAAATACTTGAAATCAATCTCAGAATAACAAGCTGTCTGCCTACGTTCGGAGATAAGTTTTCTAAAATGCCATACCATTAGCTATTTTATAATATTTTGTTGGTGCTTATGACTTAAGGTATCCGACTACTTGCGACAACTTTAAAAAAAAACGGAGATATGGGGATTTTTTGTTGTTTTTAGATTTGTTTAGTACATTTTAAGAAAAATATGCTACAATTAAGAAGAGAAAAAGTAATTATTATTACTAAAATGGGCAAAAATGGGTAAAAATTGA